TTTTTTTTTTTCATCAACGTGTGTGAGAAAGGACAGAAAGAAGTCGTGTTTGGTGAACATCAGGGAGCTTTTATTTTGACAGTCTAAAATAGGGAGAGTGTGCTTCATTTTGAAAAGCCAGCAGATTTCAGATTTCCTGGAAAGCCTCATTAACATTTCTGAACTTTTACTTTGATATCGTAGCGTATGTCAGTGCATCCTGTCAACTTTAATTGGCAGAAAACTGGCTCTTACTTTGAAAAGCTTACACATCCACACTTCCTCCTTTTAGTCTTCTGAGAGTCTTGTTCCTATTAAAAAATAAATAAATAAAACATCCAGCCGCTGTAGATCTTTAGACCCCAACCGTGCCCCTGTGCAGGACTGTTGAGTTTAACTCAACAGATGTGAACAGGAAGTCATCCTGGATATCGTTCTGCTGCGTTGATTTTCCTTTAAGCTTTTTGTTCGATGTGTCCTGTTGATAGAGCCATGATGACATTAAAGACTGTCAGTGGAAGCAGCTGTGTTCGATAACGGACCACTAGAGAAGAACTAGAGGTGCCGGTCAGGGAAAAGAATAGAGCAGACAGAGAACGGCAGACTAAGGATTAGCCTCTCAAACCGTTCCAGTGGGGGATTTCTGCCGTTATTTGCTATCTACATCAACATCATATACTGGATTCCTATTACTTAGGGAGCTGCACGTTTTGATATATAATTTGCATGGATTTTCTCAAAGCAGCAGGATGAGTTACAGAGCAAACATCAGCAATAAGGATAGGCCTGAGAAATACTAGTAGTCATGATCCACTCATATGGATCTTCCTCCAGCACTAATTGTTCTACTGCTGATGTGTGTGTTTGCTTCGTCAGCTTCAAGTTTCAAAGCAGAGCTATGAATAGACTGAATGGAGCAGAGATGGAACCATTTGCTGCTCTGCAAATAAACTCAGCGGAGAGCAGCTTTTACTGCTGCTTCTAATAATAATGACCACAGTGTGTGACCTCTGCTGAGAAGCCAGCCTTGTCCCGCCCCACAGCACTGCTTTATGATGCTCAATCAGTCGTTTTTGAATAATCGATTGGTTTCTAATCACAAGATGCATTTAGTAAAGCCAGTTTGTCCTTTTCAACCACACAAACCTGTTGCAGTGGAAGCCACAAGTGCTCAGCTGCACCCTCGTGTGGCTGTGCATGGAACTGCAGTACAAATTTCTGATCAGAATTTATTTATTTGCATGTGTCGTTTCATTTCTGACCTGTAATTTGAACAAAAAAAGTTAATGGATGTGTGTCCACAGCTCTTTACACTCAGGCCCCTTTGCCATCGCAGCAGGTTGAACACCAGCCAAACAAAATGTTTCTGTATTACAGTTGTAGAGTTAAATGATGCTGTAAAAATTCTGTTTTTTTTTTCTTAATTGTTAATTCTGTATCGTAAAAGTCAGAAATGCAGGGAAAAAAACATTTTTTAAGGTAACAAAGCCAAAAGGCAAGACTTCAAACCCTTTAGTCGGTATTCATCAGGAGGCACACGAGACTCCATCAGCTGTAGAAGAACTGCCCATAAACCGGTGTCTCAGTGCCAGCTGTTTCATTCTGCATCAGTAAGACAATGACTCGACCACAAAAAGTCTTCCTCAGGTCACTTACGGAAGGTGACCAAGCTCATTTGTAATAGATTTTGTCTTTTTGGACTTCACTTCAAAAAACAGCTTTTTGATATTTTTAGAAATGACAATATGGGTGTTAGAGTTTTAACTAGTTGCTGACCTTTAAACCGCTCAGTCTGCCGTTACAAACTGCTTAGCAAAGCCTTTGAGGACCGTATCGGACTTTTAGATGCTACTTTAAAACTTGTATGTAAAAGTTGCACCTTGAAAAAAATCTCAATTCAGTGTCAGTTTCCTAGGATTGTACGATGTGTTGGAATTTCAAGATGCGATACGCTGGATTTAGAAAATAAATATAGGGTGATCATAGCAGCAAGCACCTATGTGCTGTGTGTTTTCTCTCTACTATTCTTCTGTCTCTCGCTTTAACCGTCAATCAACCGGTTAAGGCAGACGGCCGTCCTCTCTGAGCCCGGCTCTACCGCATGTCTTCATGTCAACAGTAGTTTTCTCTTCCCACTCCAACAACCAAAGAGCTGCTCAAAGGGAGTAGTTTGGATTTCTCTCTGTAAGATCATTTTTCACATACTTCATTATGTCCACTATGTACACTGCCCTGCCTTGACTGTGGCTGTGAACTGGTGCTAACTGAACTGAATTAGATGTATACAGTGGAGTGGTGGCATCCTCAGCAGCGAATAAAGCCTCCATGTGTGCTGTGTTCTGTTTGTATCGGTCTGAGATGCTTCAGTGATATCTGCTGGTTCTGAGAGCTGCACACAGAACCATGAAGATTTTTTTGTTTGACTTTTGTTTTCAAATTCCAAACATTAAACTACTTAGTTTCATCGTTCATCTTTAGTAGCCAATCAGAAAACCAAGCATGATTCAGATTTTGGAAAATGTAATAATTAGTTCTAACGTACCATTTCTGTTTTCGCTGCAGTGAATGAGATAATCGACAGAGACATTGGCAGCCTGAGCGGCAGTGCCGCTACAGTGCAGCCCGACCAGCTTGACCAGTACCACCGGTACGACTGGGAGCACAAGTCCAGCGACGCTGCCTTGCCATTCTGTGGAGGCCCTCAGTAGCTCCACGGCTTTCTCAGGAGACAACTGATCTTCAAGTGCCTGAAAACTAGTCAGCAGCCTCTCTTGCCAGGGTACCACATCAGATTACCGTTTCCTTGACCGTCTCAGGAATTTCAGTGTGACTTCACTGGCAAACCAAAGACTTTTAAACTTTTCATAACTGTAGAATATTACAAAAGGGCTGTTCGTTGAATTTTTACACAATTTTAACAATTGGTCATTTTAATACAGAGGCTAAAGTTGTACAAAAGAAATAAGAAAATTTTGTCACTATTTATTGGCCAGTAAATTTTAAAACATCTATTTTTGATACTGTAGATCTGGTCCAGTAAAAACTGTAGTCCTTCGGCTAATCATTTACATTTTTATAGCTTTGTTTTACTCTGTGGTTTACATTTTCTTCCCTGAATTACATTAATGCTGTTCAACCTGAAATTCTGTGACGTGAAGCCTAAGACACTGAACTGTAGAAATGTACTGTGAGGTTGAAGTAAAAAGAAAATATTTGGTATTCTATGTCTGAATGAGTAATTTAATAACTGGTGGGTATCAGTCTGATGGAGGACTTTAGAACCAGCGTTGCTTTTGGAGGTAAAATAGCAACACATGTACTGCAGCTTGTGCACCATTTCCTGTCAGTTCAGTCGCAATACACTGAAGGCACCTGTGATATGTTGTTTAGTGCAGCAACATTTCAGGACATCCAGGTTAAAGGTAACAGCTGGTAATATGTACCAGCAGCAATAAACAGGAGGAGCTGATAATGTTAAATATTAAATCCCACTGGCAGACCGCTGCTCTGCACAGGTTCATGTTCTCCTTATAAAGCACCTGGGTTACAGAGGTGGACACCGACAAGCTAAGGACAGAAGATGTCACTGTTCTATTTGAAGGCAACATTATTTTCTACAAATGAACCAGGCAGAAACACCGTCAGCTGGAAGAGGAGGTGGAGGTAAGGTTGCAATCAAGACGCCCAGAGCGTTCTCTGTCCATGAACAGCAGTCAGACACAAGAGTGTTACATGTCAGTGTCTGATAAAAAAGCATGTCGTGTCTTCTATAACAGGTGAGTTTTAAAGGACTCGGTGAGGATCGGACTTGTCGCCCCGTTCAGTCATTTAAAGAGCTGCTGGTCCGGGTCTGTTTGAACAAAGCAGAACTCCTTCACTGGAGTGTGTGATCCAGGCGTCCAGCAGCTCTTAGTGCAGGTGTAAATCAGCACCGTCCCAAACTCCAGCTCTGCCTCTGCACTGCTGTCCTTCCTCTGCAATAGGCTCACCAGGGCGGGCATCAGCTGCAGCTCGAAGGTCCTGGGTCCTCCGCAGGAGCTGCACACTGAAACCAGCTGAGCCATATTGGATGGTGGCTCAGAGATGAAGAGCGGGTTCCCGCCACGGCAGTAGCACAGGATCTGCTGTGGACACAGTGAGATCTTCTTCATGAACCTGGAGAAGACGACGTCTCCGTGTCGGGCTCTGGTCTTCTCATACTTCTCCTCCCGGCTGCCCCCACTCTCCTCCAGCTCTCCCACCTCCACCCCCTCTCTCCTCTGGTACTCTCTCAGTAGCTGCTGAGCGTGCTCCAGGCCATCCTCCTCCCACCCAACATCCGACTCCTCCACCACGCTGATGAAGAAGGGACAGAAGACGGGGACATCCTCCTGAGGTTCTGTCAGACGAAGGTCCTGCAGGCCGCCGCTGATGTCCACCTCAGTGACTGCAGAGAAAACAAGTTTCACAATAAATGAGGATGTCAGTGTCTGGAGGCTTGGATGTGAAACAACGTGTCCCTCCCTCTGTGTGGAGAAGTCAGTTAGCCTCAGTTCACCAGCAGCTACACGAAGCACACCGGAGTGAACAGAAATCAAGCTGCACATTTATCTGATGCATTCTTGTAAGAGTTTGCACTGAGGCAATAATTTACACCAAACACACCGACTAACAGCTACAACACAAGACACGTTGTGTAAATGGAAAACAAATAAAAACAACATCTGACCTGAAGGTTTTCTGAATCGTGGCAGAGAGTCATCGAACACATCAACACGACTCACGACCAAAACTACACAAAATCTCAACAACCAACTCCAAACTCAGACATTCATGGTTCGGTCCAGGCTGAGTCGTTCTCAGACCCACACTCACCTTCTGTCTCAGGAACTGCTGCCTCCTCCTGAACCTGGACGTCCTGTTGCACGTCTCCTCCCCATCCATCGCCGCCGTCCTCCCCCTCCATCCCCCAGTCATCAGCGGTGTCACACCAATCCGTGGCCGACAGAGCTTCCTGAGCCACGGCCGGCCGGGCGGGAGTGTCCGCCGGCTCCTCGTCCAGAGCCTGAGAGCGGAGTACCAGCCAACACTCCGAGCGGCCGCTGCATCCAGCGGCTGCACAGGCGAATAGGTGCAGGGTCCGGTGGTAGGGGGAGTCCTCCAGCGGGCAGTACACCTGCACCACCAGCGCCAGCGGAGCTCCGCAGCCAGCACAGCGGGGAGACGGCCGGGAAAGCAGCGGCGGCCAGTCCGGCTGACCCCCGACTTTGTTGGTGCGGTAGGAGGACCGGTGTCTCCTGGAGTCCAGCTCTCCGTCGCTCAGCCCGAGCAGACGGAGCTCCGGAGCCGCCGCGGCCATCACACGTGGATCAGAGAAGCTAGCCCGAGGTCCCTCACCAAAACAAGCCCGGCTGGAAACAAGTGGTTAAATAAAGATGCACACATGCCAACACGTCGGTACCAGGCAGCAGAGCCCTGAACGGACCGGACAGGCCGTGTTAGAGCAAAGCACCATAAATACATGTATAACGGATACGCTTCTAAACCAGACAGACAAAAGTTCCTACCGGACCCATACAGTCTGTGGTCGGACCTCAAACCATGTGAGTCTTAAAGCACAGCATCTCTGTTTGTGCAGTTTCACCTGCACTGCAATGAATCAATATGTAGATATTAAAAAAGTTGCATTTGTCCTAAAAGCAAAAACAGAATATTCTTGGTTCAGGAGACTCTCCAGTCTGACAGCAGGAGATGTGCAGCAGTGACTTTACTGTGTGTCTACATGGTTCCTACAGCCACATACAGAGCTGATCATGTAAACGTCTCTTCAGATTCAATGAACGTCTGTAACACGTCGGGGAGTCTTGATACAGGCCTGGTTTACCTTTAAGGAGACTGAGGAGAAGACACAAGGCATTCACACTTCCATGAGCATCCTTCCTACCCCAGAGACCTGCTCAGTACCAGCACCAGTCTGCGTCCACATCAGTATTCCTCTACTGGAAACTGGGCTTTGCAAGACAGTTTGAAGAATATTATAACATCAGTGTCTATGGACAATTTCCAAGAAAAAACACCCTCACTTGCTGGTCAGCACAAACCTGTGAGATTAAAAATTGCTCGATAAAATATTGGTTAATAATGGAAGCACATTTTTTTAATAGATGAGACAAGAAAAAGTTGTTCGGCTCAGACTGGGTCCAGCGTGTTTGGTGCAAACACGTCCAGGACGGATGTATCGTCCTGACAGTGAAGCACGGAGGTGGCAGTATGATGATATGGGGCTGCATGAGGGCAGAAGGTGTTGAGGACCTTTCTGGACACTCCGTGGATACCTGTCAGGACACTGAAATAGTGGCTGACTAGATGACTTCCATTCTGCAGAAGCTGAACATCCCAGCATGATCACGATCCAAATCACACTGCCAAAAACACACAAGAGTTTCTAAAGAAGGAAAAAGTGAAAAATATGACCTGACCAAGTACATTGCCTGACTTACAATCAATAGAACACCTTTGGGGTATTTTTAAAAAGCTAGAACACAACCCCTCCAGCAAAGAGCAACAACAACAAAAAAATGTCTCCAGAATATCTGTCCAGAAATGTGTGTAATGCTCGTATCCTCCATGCTGAGGAGGAATGAGTCTGTCACCAGAAACCGAGGTGGATGAGGCGCACCTTTGGACAAAAACTGGAAACAAAGAAGTGAGTAATGAAAGGTGTACTGCAAAGTGTTGCACTGAGTTCTGATTGTAAGACCTGTATTTTTAATATAGTAAGTTGTATCGTAAAATAGTTTTTATTTTGACACAAGAGGAAAAACTCAACTCTTCACCTTACAAATGATGTGATCCTTGAGAGGTGACACAAAGGTAAATCAATGGGAATAAGTGACATTGGGCAGGGGTGCACTCTTCCTACTGTATGCTGTAAACGGCGTCAAACAGAATGCAGCATTGGTAAGACAAAGTTCACAGCTGGAAAAGGGAAAGAAGAATGCAGATGCAAAATCTGGTCTTCAAGTACATAACAATATTAACAAAGAGGTATTACTACAATGTAGCAGTTTGGGCCATGTTCTCATCAACTCCACACAGTACAGAACTCTGCTGGCAGACTTCTACCCAGAGCCAAGGCAGCAGGGACGTCACGAGAACCGACACCACATCAATACCAAAATTCTGAAAATGTGAAGCTACCAGCAACGTGACATGAAAAGCCTTCTTCTCACTGGCATGTGTGTAAGTTCCCAGTTTTAAAATTAAATTAAGAAAGTAAAACTTTGCCATTAAAAGCAGCCAGTTCTGACCCAAATTACAAAGATCACCTGTGTGTGAAGTGGGAGCTGTCCAGCTGTATCCTGCCTCATGTCCAGGCCAGCTGGGAGCAGCTCCAGCCCGGTGTAAGGGGACAGCTAATGAATGACTGGATGACCTCAGTGCTTTCAATAAACAGCTTCTGCTCCAATCAGACAACCAAATGACAGAACTTGTAGGAGTGAACTCTGCCTACTTCTAATAAAACAATCTCATTCTCATGGGATGAAAACAGTCAACATGCCGCGTTCATTAGCTTTTGTTAAAATTCACCGTGGAAAAGTTCAGTCATTAAATCAACACCAGGACACCACCAGTGAATGCAGATAGAAGACCTTTAATTTGGCAGCATTCATTCTGCAGAAAGTACACAACAGCTGACATCTTTTAAAGTTTCCTGACACATGGAGAACCTTTGGCTTCATTTCAGCCACAGAAACCTGGTTTAAAACTCAAAGCTGCCAGCTACCCATCAGGACATAAATACTCCTGCATTGTTACATAAAAACCGATGTGTTCAAAATAAGATGAGCACTCTGAATGGCACATTATCACATCAAACCTTTAAACATCCAGGTAGAAGTCCCCTCCCCCCGTAATGCCCATAACATGGTTAACAAAAGCAACGAACTTTGTTAGAGTCTGGAGAGACGAGTTACGTTACGAGCATTTGTTTTCCACCTTGACACTGTGGTCACAGGCTGCTTCTCTCAAGGAAATTAAACCCTGAAAACCAATGAATGCTAAACAAAATTAGACATGAAACTAGTTCATTTGTATTTTCCAAACCTGATTATGAGATATTCCCAACATCTGATTAGTCAAAACCAGTATCTTGGTGACCAACAGGCCAACAGTTGCCAAATGATGATTCATTTTACATTTGAAGCAAACTAATTTAATTCACGCTTACAAAGTTTGGAAGTTTCCAGACAAACACAGTTTATTTAGTACTTCCTGCAGTTTACTGATTCGATCCCACACTTGAATCTTTCATTGAAAGCTGAAGTCAAACGTCACAGTCTGACTCAGACACTGCAGCTTAAAAAAACACACGTGGTGGATGCAGTGAAAACAACTAAAACAAACTCATCCAGATGTTCCCTATGAAGAGTAGAGCTGCTCCGGCACAACAATGAGAGTCATCAACCTGTCAGTTATGAGAAACTACAACTTTCAATGACACACTGTACACTTTAGGGCTGCCGCTAAACAGCTTCTCCCACAGTTGTGTCATTTCTCATGTATTTTGTTAGTCTATAAATAGTACCAAAAATCTGGAAAATGTCCATCAATATACCCAAGAGTTAAAAAGGGACTTCTTTAAATGTCTTTTTTTGAACTGCAGTCAACTGAAAATATTAAATGTACAACAATAAAACAGAGAAAAGCAGCAAATCTTCACAATTAGGGATTGGAACCAGAGAATCAGTGCTGCAAAGACGGATTAGTCGATTAAATTAACATCCATTTTTATAATAGAGCAATTGTTTAACACTCATCATCAAATGAATTGCTGCTCTGCTCTCCTGTATACCATTTAAAATTAAATGTTTTTGGTGTTTCACTGTTGGACAAACAAACAAAAATAACCAGTGACTGGAACATAGAAATGATCTACAGAAGAATTAAAAATGAAAATAATTGTTCGTTACAGCCCTACTGACAATGTTAACACTTAACAGCCTGACAAAGGACTTGACCAATGAAAGGAACAGTTTCACATTTAGTGAACCGTTCCTCTTCTGTTAGTGTTCCAACCAATACCACTCATGTCTTTACAGTAAATATAAAGCTATAGAGATCAGCTGGCTAGTTCAGCCTAGCATAAAGACTGGAAACAGCGAGCCTGGCTCTGTTTAAAGGTAACAAAATGGCTCTACCGGCACCTCCACAGCTCACGAGTTACCACAGTACATGTTCAACCCCAGGACAGAATCGGGATAGACATTACCCCTATCCAGTCTCTACTAAGCCAAGCTAAGGGCTGCAGCTTCCTACAGACATGAGCCTGATCACTCTGGACATGGAACTGTCCATTTTCAACATTGCAAAATTCATTTTTTTGTCCCAACAAAAACTAAACACAAGATTGAGTCATTTTAAAGACTGACATCAAACTTAAAGGAATAACTGCCAGCTTGATACAAAACATTAATATGAATATTTTCATCTTTTCAGTTTGAGTGACCTGACTCAAGTTCTTCTGCTGCCTTCAGCAATTTGTGTATATAGCAGGTCTTATTTTGTGTACATAGCATTTTCCTCGTTTCTTTTTTTGTTGTTGTTGTCATTTTACAGACTAAGCAGTTATTTGAGAAAATAATTCACAAATTAATCAATAATGAAAACACCTGGTAGTTGAACTGAAAGGTTGTCATGGATTTTAACTGTTGGCCCTAAACATACCTGTGGACAAACCTAGATAAAGGTATAAGGCATAAATGGAAAAGCTTCAGTATGAAGGGGAGCTGAAGACCATCAGGTCTGGTCCAGAATAAAAAGTAAGTACTGCAGACCCAAGAGAAAGTAAGACCTGATTCAAAATGTGATCATCTTGAATAGACCGAACACCAACAAGCTACAGAGCAGGTCCAGAGAATCAATGTTCAGAGTCACACACTGAACATTAAAGTCTCCACGTCTGTGACATGCTGAGGACAAAAACAAGAATGACAGTGAGGCAAACGCTGCAGCTGCACTACAAGCATGAGAAAATGCAAACCACTTGGTGTCGTCCTCAACTATCTACAGCTTACTGTCTTTTTTAAAAGTTGCCTTGGAAAGGACATTCATCATTTCTGTGTTTACGTCCTTACAGGTTTCAAAATAAAAGCATGTATGAACAACCGCAGCATGTTTACCAAAATATTAGTCCTATTTAGTTCTTCTGAGGGAATTTGGCCAAGATATTTTAACTAGTAGAAAAAGCAGACTACATGACCAAAAGTATGTGGACATCTGGACATTGCACCAGCATGGATATTAATACAGTCTCCACTCCTGCAGTCTGAGGCTTTTCACCAGATTTTGGCATATTCCACCACAAACAAACAAACAAACAAACAAAAAATCACAGTCCTATGAAAATTATGCCACTCTAAAGAAGTCTCTTGAGCTAAAAAAAAAAAAAAAAGAATAATCATTTGTCTTTGTGACAATACATTATATTCAGATAATCCAGTGGGTTTATACATTTTTATTTACTCTATGAAGAAAACTTTTCTCGCTTCCTTAGATTTTATTGATAAAACGTAGCAAATACGTATATATACTGGGTTTTTTATGTTTATCTGGACATGAGAGACCCAGACAAAACTGGCATGAAAGTACATAGACAGGGGTGTCTGCATAGTTTTGGCCATCTGGTGTCATTTCAGGGGAAAAGGTCAAGAGAAAAAAATATCTTAGGTTAAACATTCAGATTATATTTCCTAATTCTGTCTTTTCAGTATCTTCTCTTATCACTCCACTGCTGCTGTTACAGTAAAAATAAATCCAGTAAAAAACATTTTCATATAAAAAAATAATGTGTGATTTGTGAGATGAATACATGGAAAGCAAGTGAGTTTGGTTGTATGTTGGTTTCTCTACAGGCACTCATTCTGTTTCTGTCTGACAATCTCTCCTTCACGCATTCTCTCCGACTGCAGAATCACAGTAACATGGCGTACATGACAGTTTCCTGGCATGGAGATAAGGCAAAAATAAGAAGCATGCAGGGCAGCATCACTGCTGTCCTCTCACTGCAAAAACCTACTGCAGGTCTCTGGCAGACCTTCAGAGAACAGGTGCTGGCCGGATGTTTTCCTCTGATGTATCGCAGTAAACGAGCTGCAGAAGTGACCGTCTGCACATCAGCCACAGAGACAGACAGACAGACAGACAGAAAAACAGACAGACAGACAGAAAAACAGACAGACAGACAGACAGACAGACAGACAGACAGACTGCCCTTTGTCCCTCTATGGCAGCTGTTACTTTGCAATTAAAACTTAAAATAAAACACAAAACAAATTTTAAAAAAACAAAAACAAAAAAACACTCTTTATATAAAAATGCTTAGAATCTTTTAGTACCACACCATCATGCTCCGCACGATCTGGATTGCTTAGAAATACTTTAAAAAGACAGAAGTCTGTCCTTCATTCATGTTGAGCCTTCAGCTCTGAGGTCTGTTTCAGTGGAACTCCACAAACTCCTCCAGCGTTTTTGGAATCTGGTTGTGGTAGGTGATTTGGTGATGTCGGACGGCACGCGCTGCCAGGCACTTGAGGCTCATCTTCATCTGGGTCTTCAACAGGATCTCTGACACTCCCGTGGTGCTCTTGTCTAGCGGTGTCTTCTTCTGTTTGTTGGTCATGTCTGTGTGGGCGCCTGCCTCGACCAGGTTGATTATGATGGCATGTAGCGTTAGAAAGTCACTGATAGGTCGGTTGTACTGGACAATGACATGCAGCGGGGTGTTGCCTTCATGGTCAACTGCATTGACCTGCGCACCGCAGTCCAGCAGCAGTTTGGTGACTTGGGCATTGGGGAAGCTACAAACATCATTGGTGTGAAAGTCATCAACCGGCGTGCTCGAGCTAATGGCCAGGTGCAGCAGCGAAGAGCCCTCACGTGACCGCGGGTCCAGCTGGATTAGATTGTAGATGTGCTTGTTGATACTGGCGCGCTCCTCGTCACTGCAGGTTGTCTTGGTGGAGATGCAGGCCAGATACAGAAAGGTAAAAACGTTTGACTCATAGTTATCCATGGCCTGCGGGAGTTCAGATTCACCTGCCACCTCAACTCGAGCCATGCTGCGCTGAATCTCCAGCACACTGCAGCTTAACACCTGCTCCACAGAAGAGGCTAGCACATGCTCCTTTAGGTGGACCATCTGGGAGAACACCTGAGCAAAGCGCAGCAGGTCTTTGTGTGTGTTCCGGTTTCCTTTCTGCCGCAGGCGAAGAGCATGAAGCCACAGTTTGATGCACTGTTCAAACTCCATGTTATCAGCATAGACAGCACCACGATAGATGATAGGATGTGACACGTCAATATTGTCTGAACCCAGGATACGCTCCCGGATCATAAGTCCCTCCATGTGCAGAGCATCCCGATCCACTCGGATGGCCTCCAGGTCTTGGGGTGTTCGACACTCACCGCGAGCCCCATAGGCCTCAATGGGTGGCAACAACTCCTTGACAATGACATTATCCAGGTCATGGTAGCGCTCTATCATGGCCATGTGTAGGTAGTGGTAGGTCTTCTGTATGTCATAGTTCTCTCTGTCATTGGCAAAGGAGGCACCAAGCAGCTCCAGGGCCTCAATGCGGCTGCGTGCATCACAGTCGGCGTGTGCCAGAAGCAGCTCCACCACATCAGCTTTACAGCTCTCTGCAGCGACTTTCAGCGGCGTCATGCCATGTCCATTCATTACCATGGCTGCCTGGCAGTGCATCAGCTCTTTTACAATTTCTAGATGGCCAGCCTCAGCTGCAAAGTGCAGGGCAGTGGCCCCACAGTGGGCCTTGGCGTTTGGGTCTGCCCCCTGCTCCAATAGAAACTTTACTACATCCACGTGGCCCTTGTAGGCAGCGATCATCAGGCAGGTGTTGTTAAACTTGTTAGTGATGCTGATGTCTGCACTGTGTTCCACCAGGTAGCGGACAATGTCCAAACGCCCATCAAAGCAGGCGGCCCGCAAAGGAGTGGAGTTGGTGATGGTGGTGTGGTTAACGTTTGCATGGTGACTTACCAGCAGGCGCACCACCTCAAAGTGCCCCGCTCCAGCTGCACACCACAGCGCTGTGGCACCGTCAATGACGTAGCTGCAGGACAGATGGGAGACAGATCATGAAAACATTATTATTATTATTATTATTATTATTATTATTAGTAGTAGTAGTAGTAGTAGTAGTATTATGAGTGCTTGCCCCAAGATGAGGAAGCCTCCCTCTGAACTTCAACACTTGAGAAAAACAGGACTGAATACATACGTTAACTTTCCAAAACAACTTTAAATCAATAGACAGTTCTGACCACATTTTCAAGTAACTACTAAAGTAGAGACACTTGGACAACGGAAATAAACAGTGTTATTACGACTCTAGTCAGAGCTCTGCGTTGACTTACTGAGTGGCTGTGACCAGATAAACCCGCCAGTAGAGTTTCATGTGGCAGAGCAGCACCAGCAGGTCTCTGCAGTGGGGCTGGGACTCCCTCACATGGTTTTCAATAACAGTGTAACAATAACCACGTTTCACTACTTTATATTTCAATACCTTACTTATAAAAATACACAGCATGTTATCCTCTAAAACTGCTTTTGTCATGTCAACCTAAGATCATCATATAATTTCACACACAGGTGACATTTTAAGTTGGCTTCTTTAGTTTGACCAAGTTTCTATATTCAAGTATAATATTTTAGAGACATAATCTAGATAAAACTAACACAGTCTACAACAAACAGCTCTGTAATAAATCTCAACACCTAAAAAGGCTGTAGCTCAACCCTCTGGTTGAGCACAGTGTCGTATATCTGCCAAAAGAAAAAGAAAAAGAAAAAGAAAAAGAAAAAGAAAAACACAACCAAACAAAACTTGAAGATGGTGCAATTATTGATGATCTGAAGGTTTCTAGACTGGACTAAGCTCCGTGTTTCAACATCCTAAGCATGCCCCTGTGCATGTATAGTCCAGGTCATGGATTATAACTAACTGTGTATAACTACTACTTGGGTTTTACTTGACAGACCATTCAGTGACATGTGGAACAGGCTCGGTTTGGGGTAAAGCCAGAAACATTAGATATTTCAATCGAGTAACATCTAAATACCACTGAGACAGAAGTTTGATGAGACTTAGGTGGACCTAACCTTCATTACAACACTGTCAGAGCAAAGAAAATTTGAAGATGACAACTCCTACCCATCAAACCGGACCGTGCCGGTCTGTTCAGTGTCCACTCGGTAGTGGTCCAGCAGCAGTCGGACCACCTTGTCGTGCCCGTTCCGCGCTGCGATGATGAGGGGAGTGGACCTCTGGCCGGCCAGGTGGGTTACATAGCCCAGCAGGTACTGGGTCTCCGCCTCGGAGTGGTTGAGCAGCAACGCGGCCAGGGTCAGGACTCGGCCCTCACTGGCTGCCTTGTACACGTAGCCGGCCAGAGACTCCATCTGAGCCCGACAGGCAGCCAGGACCTCCGCTTCCTTCGCAGCTGAAGCCCGCAATGTCCACTCCTCCAAAGGAAGCGGCCTCCCATTAAAATATCGAAACAAGCCACAGTGATCACATGAAAAAGGTATCGTCTCCTCTACAGCCCCGACAGAGATGTTCCTGGTCCAAGCTGGTGAAGGTTCAGAGGGTAAACGCCCGACACCAGGCGTCCAGCTCCGGGTATCCGTCTCCAAGTGACAAGCGCCAGCTGAACAGGCTAGCCGGTTAGCTCGCCGGTTAGCTCGCCTCAAACGGTAGAGAGCTGCTCGAACAAAACGCCTGTTTGGGGTCAAGATTCAACAAAATGGTGCCTCGGTTTTCGCTCTAAAAGAATCATTGTCTGTACTTTCTGTCTGAAAACTAAAACAAGTGTCAAAGATTTCAGACGCAAACACAGGTACGATCACCTTTCGCTATCGAGTCTTATGCCGGAAGTTGCCGTTCAACTTAAAAACACCTCCGACTAGAACTTTCTCCAGCAGACATGGTTCCCTTTTCTTCTTCTTAATTTTAGTCTGTAACAAGGCAGAGCTTTATTGCCACCTACTGTTCAAATCAGTACGTTCCTGTCAATTTCGTGTCCTGCAAATAAAGGTTAAGGTATGTTCCAAAACAGAATTTCCAAAATGATTTGTGAAGATTGTTTAATGGTCCACGTGTTTAATTTTTTTTAATTTGCATACTATGTTGATAGTATGGGCGGGTAAAGATGACATGCTCCACAGTGTCTGTTTGCATCACGACATTTTCCAAAAGTTTTCTGATGAAGTGCGAGTTTTCTGTCACCAACATAAACAACCACAGTCTATTATCCCTCTCTCTGTCTCTCTCTCTCTTTTTTTAATAAGGGACTTTCTACCTCTACTTTATGCTGGATCTGGTACAGCTGATAAACCTGCTTTAAACAGCTTAGACGAAGGCTGCTGCTTGTAGCTGGTTTAAGGCTGGCTATGGTGGTTGAGGCTGGTTAAACTGGCATCAATCCAGTTCTACTAGTTAGTGATCCTAACAGGGATGGTCCCTCAGTTGGCCACCTAAGTCAGGCTGCTCAGGCAGGTTTGAAAAGGTAACAGTGGGAATCTAGATGGTCAGCCAGCTAAATGGAGCTCGACAAGCTGGGACATATTCCACCAGCAACACTTGTGAAATCTGTGCTTTAAAGGAAAAACCACGATTAAATTAATGTTGACTTTAACTGGAGGCTTAATCTGTTCCATTAACCCAGCTTAGCTGTGTGTTTTCAAACCAAGCTTGAACAATAGTGCATTATGTGTGCAGAGAGTACATGTGCAGCCCAGAGCAGGTGACTGATTAACAGAAGACATTCTGTTGCAAAAGACTGCTGACAGATTATATGCACAATATATACTTAAATACCGTGAGATACAATAATAATGAAGATTGTGGAAACATGTGAAACTATATAAACACATTTTACATGGTAACAAGTACCCTATGCTAAAAATTTAAATATATTTGTCAAAGTTGGTGTTTTGTCACATTTTAGTCCCCAAACAAAGACAGACACCATCAAAGACCTCACACCGTCACATGGTTTATTTACCTGCTGCACACGTTATACTGCCAAACTTCATTCATTCTCCTATACTGTCTTTGGGTGTGTAGTTAGTGTATTACTGCGTCATCATTGTGTTTGTGGTTGTGATGAACAATGTTTTGTGGATAAAGTCATTGCCTTTTTTTTCTCTAGTCACTTTATCATATTCTTGTGTTACCTGAGTTCAAGTTAATTCCCTCTAAAGTTAATTAGTGTACTGTAGGCACTCTTACTGAGTTGCCAATAGAAACTGTTTATTAGTGTTGTTGTGCTGGCTCTAATATTATAGGGCTGGTTAAGTAGGTAAAGTGATTTATTTCACCATGACTGTCATAGTGAAATAAAATAAATCCTCTTTGCAGTGTTTTGAGGAAGAACTTGTCTGACAAATTGTGCCCGTGTGTGAAACTTAGATGATTTAACACAAATGATTATCATTGCATACCAGTAATCAGTCAGTCTGCTGTGATGTTTATTCAGCTCTGGTCCTGACTACAGCTGAAGCATCCTTCCACACGATTACACTTGGATCTAAATATCATTTATTCCGTTCTGGTTTGGACCGGCTCTCAACAGGGGATGCCACACCATTACAGTTACAAACACTGCTGTGATTCCTGAAAGGTCTGTCACTGTGCATCCTTTATCTGTCAAGAGCCATTCACCATTTAAGCCTAAAACAAATATGAAAGGACATTCACCTGTACTGCAATCAACAACAGAACATGGAACTGAAAGCCGTAAGGGCAGGACTCATTTCCACAAAAACACTTTGCTCCTTTTAGTTATCCAAAACTTAAACAGTGTATATATGAAAAAAGGGAAAATCTTACCAGATCTACAATCCCATCCTCACGTACGGTCATGAACTGTGGGTACTGACAGAAAGAACACCACTGACAGACACAGCTGAAATGTTTCCCTTACAGGCTCTGACAGTTTCAGCTCTTTGTTTTAGCGCTTCAGTTTTATGGTTTTGGTTCATCCTCACCACCTTCACAACATTCCATACAGTTATAACCACCATTACATGTCACCAGCTCTGTGTTTCCCCCGATGATGAGGTCCTGTGTTTGTTCTCTCTGCGGCCATCTCTGGATCTGGAGCTTCATGTCTCTGATCTGCAGCCGCTGGCCTCACCAACCCCCAAAATATTTATTGTTGTATTGCTGCTCTCCATCTGCTAACCCTAACCTTCATCCCCACTCTCACCCAACTGGTCAAGGCAGATGGCCGCCTTCCCAGCGCCTGGTTCTGTCAGAGGTTTTTTCCCCCCCTCCTGTGAGGGGGTTTTGGTTCCTTCCCACCGTTGCCTAGCACTTGCTCAGAGGGAGTTCAAAGGCTGCTTTGGATTGTTTGGTTTTCTGTTTAAATTCATCAGGTCTTCACCTTACTATGTTAACCACTGTGAGATGACGTATGTTGTAAACTGTGCTATACAAGTAAAATTGAATTGTATTGAATTGTTTCTGGGGGAAATTACTGTCACTGCTGCTCTATGAAGCTTTTCAGCTAATGTAGCTACAAGTTTAGGTCTTGCAGGGCATTAAAACTGTAAGTAATTGCATAAGTAAACTTATAGTTACCTATAAAAGGTTTCATATTTTTAATTAATTTTCATTACTTTGCTGAAATCTGTTTTTACTTCAACATGACTGTTTTGTAATTTCATGTCCCAAAAGCCCATTTATTAATATTGACCATGACCGAGTGTTAAAAAGCATTGGAAGGGGAACAATTTAAAGGAGGGCAAATACTTATTTTTTTTATAGACACTGTATGTATTTTATCATTCATTTATAAGAAACAAATACAGAGAAACATTGCCAATTACAAAAACAGTGTCTCATGTACTGTATATGAGCATAACATTGAATTTTCAGCAACAATCCTTTTATGGAGATCAATAGATTAGGCAAAACAAAATCATTAAAACTTATATACAAGAGCAACCTGCTACAAACTTACACATGCTTTCTTCTGTTCCATTATTCTGTCAGTCACACAAAGTAGCTCTTAATACCTGATTCTTTTGTACATCATCAACAAAACAATTAAAATCACCTCTGAAAAGATGTTTTTGTATTCAGACTTGAATCTGAGAAATTTGCCTGTTTAGTTAATCACAAGAAAAGATAAAAAAAAAATCTCCATGCTTTTTACTGTTTTAATATACAAAAGGAGATCAAGAGTCAGATCCTTCTCAGCCTACAGCATGGCCCAAACAAAAAAACAAAGGTTGGAGGATGAGATGGAAGTAGGCCAGGAGGTCTTTTCGGTTTTCTCTGGCCCACTTCCTCAGCAGCGTCTGATGTTGCCTCTAACAGAACTCAACAGACGACCACAAAGGCTGTCCAGGTGGGAATGATGAGAAGGTCAATATACATTTGTGTTTTTTTTTAGCTCCCGATTGTGCCTTTAATTCACTACACAGTATTCAAGCTTTACTCTGAACACCCCTCCAAAAACTCTTTGGAGTCAACAGAAACTTCTTCCTTCAGACAGATGCTCAGGAATCCTTTGTATAATATTCTCAGGTTCTGTGGAGACACACACACACAAAGAATTTGCAGCCCCAAAGACTTTGCTTCAAGCAGCTGGAGCTTCCTCCCCTCAGTCGTCTGGTTCGGTAACACACTGCTCAACGATCTCTCTCAGGTTGGGGTTTTCCATGGCAGCGGCCACTCGCTCCTTATCGTTGATCTGTTTGTTAACTGAAGACACAAAGAGCAGTTTTCTTGAAATAATGATGATGGCATCCCATTAGGGGAGGTCCTAGGTTTGAGTGCTAATGTTGACACTTTGGACAACAGTTCACTTTTATGGCATTTGTGGAGAATTATTAATATCCACGGGACAGTGCTGATATGAATGGTCATATTCATGTTAATTAGGTAGAAATTGCAGATCCACTGGTCTTGTATTTTTTTCTGTCTATACCCTCCCCCATTGAAGACATTTACAAACATGTACTCATTTTTATTGCAGTGCTGATAAATGTAGTGACCTCTCCCCATTCAAAAGTTCAGAAGCAGAAATTTTAAAAATGCACAAGTATAAAATTTTGCTGTTAAAGGCAGAGTTTTCAGTTGTCAGACTAACTAACAAAAGCATTTGTATGAGATTGTGAGTGTTAACATTGGTGCCTGTTTAATGTCTGAAAGCTCGGCCACTATGAGAAGCCCTCTGCTTGGTCAGGATCCAGCTACAATCTCAAGTAAAAGCAGAAAATGTAACCATTCTATTCTGGCCTCTCTTCACGCTACATCAGTTGTAACAGTAGGATGCTTTGAGCTCACCACGCTTGCATGGACTTGCATTTCCTTACTTATCTAAGATAATTATAGCATATACACCTGCGCACCCTCTTTGCTCTCTTGATGTTTTTATGGTCAATTACTTTGTTTAACCAAAAATCTATTAGCTTCAGACCATTTGCTCTTAGTTGGGTCTGTTTGCATTTACTTGCTGCATGCTTTGTCTGATGTATTTTCTATTGTTGTGAAGTGTATGGGGACCATGCTGCGTGGTGATTCTGTAAAGTAACTGGAGCATGATGCTAAACATCTGAGCGGACCTGTGCCCTCTACAGTGCTGGTGCAGCATTGTGACATTTGGATGTGCACAGTGCACTGGTAGCAGTTGTCATTACATAGTGATCTCTCGAAGAACAAGAATTTCATCACATTTACTCTCATTTGTTCCATTTCAACAAAGTTACAAAATGCCAATTGTAAATTGCAACATGAGATCAGCTCTGTAGGACTAAATGTTGTGTGGGAGTGACAGTCTTGTGAAATGCGACTACTTCATTTGTCGGTATGACACAACCAGTGTGTGTCCTATGGCACCAATGAATAAAGAAAAACATGCATGCTGTTTTTCATTCTTCTATGATGACTGGTGCAGAGCACCATTTTAATTTTTTGGTATCATTACAATTCACAGTGTTGGTTGAGATGCAAGAACTGCAATGATTATTGAAAGTAATTGGAGGCTAAATAGTACAGTGGACTGAATATCTTTGGTTTTTTGAACGTCAAAGCATTCAGCAACATATCAATCTGTTATATAAACCAATCAATAGATCAATATCAATAATCAATAGATGGATTAGTCAAGGAAATAATTGACAGGTTATCCATTATTCTAATTATAATTGTCATTAGCAACAACAACAACTTATCTATCTATCTATCTATCTATCTATCTATCTATCTATCTATCTATCTATCTATCTATCTATCTATGTAGATATTTATTTTATTGTTGTGGTCCTAATACCATTTGGGGAATAAAGACAGGATTGCAGTCTTTCTTAAATGTAACCAGATAAGCCAAACTGTTCAGGACATCAGTGTTGAATAATGAACCTTGCTTGTAAACAATATAGCACTACTAGTGCTAATGTAGTATCCAATTTGATATACCTCATGACAGTACTGTGAAGACTGTGGTCTTACAAGACCAGACAGCAAGTCAGACTATGTTTTATTATTTAAATTGGAAGCATAGGCTGTGGCTGGAATTTGGCAACAGATGAAAGTGTCTGGAGGGAGTGAGTACAAGGGCAAATCCTGTCGTATCAGGTTACCAAAAAAACTGTCAGAAGAGGCAAATCAGTCACTTGTGTACAAACCTGACATCTTAAACACGCTGAAATCACTGATAACTAACCTTGAGTTTTCCTAAAGTTCATTGTTAGGTATTCATAAATGGCATTTTCATAACAAACTATATCTACCCAGTGGCAAAACTTGTCCAGACCTGAACTTTTTCAGTTTCTGATGCATTTGATTCTAGCCCTTACATTTTGATTGCCTGTGCTGGATGCAAATCAGGGTAAAGAAACCATATCAGGTATTTTGGCCAAATTAGCTGAGTTTTGAGGGTGGCACCACAGAATAGAACAAGGGACCCATTAACATTTGTTTAGTCAATGTAATGTCAAGCTTACTGACCTGTCTGCCAGACAGACTATACAAAAAGTCAAAATGTCACCTCAACTGTTAGGCTAGGGCTAGCGATAAGGAAATAACTACAGCACATTTTGTGACAATATGATCCAAAGCTGTGCAGACACCATGCTGTCATCCAAAGTATCAGACAAATGGAGTGAGGAGTGACTTTAACCCATCAGTATATCAACAATTACATACAACTCTGCTGTAAATGTAAAAATCAAGTTTGAGATCATCATGAACAGCTGTTTAACTCCACTAACCCTTAAATAACCCTGCTGTCTTTCTGGACCAAACTTCTATCTGACAAACTGCAAGTGTGCAGAACACAGCGCAAATGGTTTCATCTGAAATTAAAACAAAATAAATAAAAGAGACTTACTGTCTTCTTCCGTAGAATGGGTTCCTTCGGAAATATAAATTTCTAACTGTGAGAAGAAAGGAAAACAACTGCTGTTAAAAGGCTGCATTTCCTGTTTTATTCAGCGATTATTTCATAGATTCAGTTGAGAACAAAGTAAAGAGGATTTTCAATGCCAACATGGTGTAACAGAATAATAACACTTGGTAGGTGGTTTAGGCTTAATCGTTGCAGAATGACAGATTGGCAGAGAAATTGGGAATATGCAACTCAGGGAGTAAGGTAACAATTAATAATTGAAATCTGTACGTAGACAGTACAAATGCTGCTCATTCATTGTATTTGGGTGGATGCAGCTATTTCAGTACCAAATACAAATAACAGAATGATTTACACTGCTTGATACAAGAAGAGGCAAGTGTCAATATTTGCTATGTGTAAAGGAGGTGCAGTGACCCAGAAATCATGAGTTACCATTATAGAACTCACCTTATGTTTAAATGGCAAACATCTCTGTAGCTTCACTTGTAAGCACAGACCTGCAGACACAAAACACATCGTCATCAGACACAAAACACATCGTCATCAGACACAGACACTGATGACACACGATGACCGGCAAAATTTCAGCAATCACAGGACAATTAAGCAGTAAATTAGAGAACATCTTGTCAGAATTTATAAAGATGGAAATCAGTAGCAAAATGCAGCAAAAAGAAACAACAGAAAACACTGACAAAGCTGTTCTAGGGCATCGCTTTTATCCAGGATGGAAGTGGCCTCTCCCAGGATGACAATGCTGAATGGTTTGATGGCTATAAAAAGGATGTGAACTATATCCTGTAGTCTTCATGTGACCAGATCTTAAGCCAACTGAACACAATGGGCCAGAAGGCTTGTGATTTGGGTAATACAGGTCTGGGACTCCCCATCAGTCGGTTAGAACAGACGAAGACTCATGGATGAGAAGTGAAGCAAACAAGTCCAGCTGCATTCTGCTGCAGCTCTTTGGGTTACGAGGAAAAGGATGACTTTAAATCTACAGAGTATTTAAATGATCGAAGCTATGGCTGTGCTTTGAATTTCTAGAATTTGAACCTACTATTGAAGGCAGGAAACTATTAGACAATAAGGAAAAAATACGCTGTTGTAGCTCCTCTGTGTTTATAAAATACCCACCTTGTTTCTGTTGCACTTTGTTTAATATACAGACCAAACTTGTTCATTTTTTTATTTAGATGGATAATTAAATGTTTGGGTTAATCAACTAATCAGTAAAACTATCAACTGATTATTTCATTGTTGATTATTTCATTGTTATTGGCAGTCCTAATAATAATGATAACTATGAGGACCTATGTTGGAACAAAGGCATTATATCAGATGTTTGAAATTCTGTCCTCCCTCAACCTGACATGTCAATCAAGGCCCCGTCATTTTATGTGGCCCACGAGAGATGCGTTTTTTAATTTGATAAATTATTGGACTATATAATATAATTTATAATTTATGTTATAATAACACAGCAATGTGCCTTCATACATTTTACTTTTATGTAAACGCATAAACCGCATTCGTACATTGAATGAATAACAGTCAAATGCAGAGATGATTATTTAAATAATTATTTAATGGAAATAAGTTTGAAGGACTGCGCTACACAGTCTACGGCTTTTGACATTTTTTGACAGAAACTACAAAGATCTGAGTAGATCGTGAATAAACCCGGATGCACTCAAAAAATAGGAACAGGTCCAACATCCCTGCTGCTTACTGTGTGTATGTCGAAACCCATTTAACAGAAGACAAAACATCCCTAAGCATCTGTATCTGCCTTCAAAAAGTTGGCGTTTGAGCCCGGTTTATTGGCCAGCTAGTGTGGTCCAGGTGTGTGCTGGTCACGTTATGAGCCGCGTGCCTCACCGATCAGAGTGGCCAGTGAGCAGTGAGGGACAGTTGGAGAGAACTTGATAATGATGAGGTACTCGTCCTCTGCCAGCTCCTGGACTTCCACACATTTCTCCGTCACCACGTCCAGCTCCTCCAGGGTGCTGGGTTTCTCCGGGTCTCGGATTGATCGAATCACATCTACAAGCAAGAAGCAAGATTAGCCACTGTCAAGGACCGCCAATGTTAAGTTTTAAATTAGAAAATACATACGGTGTAGTGTCTGAAACGTGGACAGCGTTAAACTGAGATAAACAAAATGATCTGATGACAAGATAAAAGACCCTCAGTATTCCATAGAAATGGCTCAAGCACAGACATAACTATTGTTCTGCAGTAGCACCAGTCCTCATACATTCTGATCACTTTGAGCCAAACAGTACTGAGATCTGCTCCCTGTGAGCTCACCAAAACCCTCTTACAAGACTGTTTATCTGGTTTCTGCAGCAGCGCTGTGGTGTAGGTCATATGACCCGTTATCATTATGTACACCAGAAACACTTCGGCACACGACTCAGTGTCTCTTTAGACAGAGTGACCATTCCCCAGACAGGACTGTCCTCAGACTGGCCCTTTAAGGACAGACTCACTTTAGCCGTGCAGTTCTGGCACCACACTCAAGAGAGCCCACTTATGTGTAAATAGTCTGGTACGCTGTTTCTATGACTCGAGCCTTTTCTCTTCTATGAACTCTCAAAGGTTTGGGCTCTTGTGGTTCACTGAAGGCTGCTGTCACGGCTGGCCTTTCCGACACTTACCGTAAACTTCTAACGCTTTCTCCTCCATCTTCCTGGTCCGCAGGGCATTCCTGTTGTCCACAAGTCCAGAGAACTCCAAAACCTTGGCGACAGTTAACGAAACAAGGCTGAATACTATCGCCATTTTTTAGAAGGCGCCATGATATACGGGAGCGATTGTAATTACTTTAAAATGCGGAAAACAGCGGGCAGCTTCAGCGCACTCTACTACGCTACAGGAGTTAGCAGCTGCAGTTTGCTCACACACAGCGACTGTCTGTTCTGTTCTACGGTTGGGTCACCAGCGTCACCTGGTGATGACGTTAACTTTTTGAGCGTTTTCTATTGGTCAGCGTTCGTCACGTGACAGCAGGAGTCAGGTCCCGTGACTAGCGCACTGTTTACATGATGTGAGGAAGTGTTTCTGGTACCGCCGCTATGTGAAGGGGCTTCATCTCAGATTCTCTCCCAACATGTGTCCATAACTAGCATGTGAAGCGTTGGTTTTGTCAGTAAGTTGTTCGTTAACCGTGTCAACATGTTTGAGAATAGCTCCATAGAGGTCGCAGTGATCGCAGAGAGCCAGCACTGTACAGAAGTAGCGGACGTGCAGAAGGCTGAACTGGCTCCGAGAGGGTCGCTGCTCAGCTGCCTCGGGGTTCGGGGTCAGCTTGTGTTGTGGGACCCGGCAGACGGACAGGCTGCTCCGGCTGCAGTGGAGGGCTGCTACAGAGAGTGAGTCCAGCTGTGACATCTCAGCAACCAACGAACCCATTCGATACCAACAGTGTTTATACTGTGGCTTTGAAACGACTGAAACAATAACATGGTCTTATGAAGTAGTAACTGTTGATCGGCTAAACGTCTCACGGCTGCTGCTCTAACACCAACATAAAGCAGTGCTGGATTAAATGAGCAGTCAAAGACATTTCTGAAGTGCATGTTAACATAGGCTGTATGGCTGATAAGTGGGGGCCATAGATCATGTTCTTTGTCATTCCCTCTTATATTAGTCACTGCGTCTGTGATTCATCACTCAATACATGTATTGACTGACATGTTCTACTTATCCAGTTTATGAGTTTGGAATGTGACTTACAACATAATTGAGATAACCTTACATTGAGGTTTTCATGAAACAATCTGTTCATACCCTTCAACACACTCCTCATCACTAGGTAACCCTAACACAACTCACCACTTATCCTGTGTACATGTCTGTGATGTGAGAAACATTTTTTGTGTTCCTAGTTTTTCCTGGGAGGAGGTGACTGTCCACAGTCAGGGTGTCAGCAGCTTCAGACTGTTGGCTGTTGGATCTGACTGTGACTTCAAGCTGCTGGAGGTTGAAGGAGAACGATCAGCCTGTGTTTCACTGCTCTGTGTAGCTAAACATCCTGCAGACCGCCTGCTGCAGACCATCAGAGAGCAGGATCACAGTGAGTACCACATGAGCCATCCTCAGGCTCAGACTCCCGTCCAGCCACCAAGGTCTGCCAGCTGATCGGATACAGTATTGCTGATATGCTGTGCATTATCACTAAGTCACATTTACTAATTGAGTCTTTACTTTCAGGTGTGTGTGAGCTGCAGTCGGTGGATGTGCTGTCTTTTGCCACTGGCCGCTGCTGCGTGCTGCTGAACTGTGTCTGGCTTCTGCAGCTGCGGTGGCAGCAGGGAGAGGAGGAGCCACAGACGTTATCCTGTTGTAGCATCCAGCTGACTGACAATGACAGACACACTGCTGTCCATCACTGTGTCTGCAGAGAAACGCTGTTCATCCTCAGCTCCGCTGGACTCATCTGTATCCTCCACTGACAAAAGCTTCATACACCTGAATAGATACTATTACAGCTACTAGTACTAGTATTACTACTACTACTACTACATGCATTATTGTAAATAATTGAAAAAATACTAGATTACCAACCTTAAAATAAACGGCACAACACCAGCATGAACTGAGCTGATGCATAACCAAGAAATAGTGAAGTTAAACTAAGCTAAACTATGTGAAACAAGGATAAAAACAAATTGACCCACAAATGCACAGATGAGCAAAAATGTAAATACCAAGATAAACTTAAGATTTGAAGCAATAACAAATTAACTACATAAAACTAAGACAAATGTAACTAACAATCGAAAATATTCCCAACTAAATGAAACTGATAAAAACAAAATACTAAGAAAGTAGCTCAATTAAACCAACCTAGCACTGAGGTAATAAGTTTGTTATAAATAACATTATTAAGCTGTCATTATTTTAAGAAACTATTCTGAAGTAAATGAAAGGGCTCAACAGAATTATATGGCAGACCTAAATTAAGCAGTTAACTGACTAAAACTCTGTTAGCATTGATAGAACTAGGCCAAACTAAATTATGCAAATATAAGCTGAACAGAACAGAACTTTTCTGGTTTAAACACACATTAAATGAAACCAATCTAAGCTGTCCATTCACAGGGACTGAATACTTGTACCTGCTTATCACTGTAAGGAAAATAACTCAAAGTAAATGTAGCAGAACTAAATTAAACGTCCCTTTCCAGGCATTGATTAAACCCCTTCTCTTCATGAAAACAATCTAATTGTGCTTCATAGTGGATGATGCTGGTTAAGGTGGAAAGGGAAGGTGGACCAAGATGTAGCAAACCTGACAACACAACCTGGGGAGTGTCGCCCCAGGAACTATTATATTAAGCCTGGACTACCACCTAGCTCATAGACAGGTCACACAAGTTTGTTGACTAAGACAATGCAAACAGGTGGAGGATGTTGTGACCCAGCGCTCTGACCGCTGCAGCCTCTCAAGTGAGCCACACATGAGTGCCTAGCCTCCAAAACTAGCTGGCAACCTCAAAGCCAAATATAAGAAGAATTCAAAATCAAAAAAACAGCTGAATCAAACCATAGATACAAAGGCTAAGAGAAATTAGGGTAAAACAGCAGCAGATAGAAACCAACAACTTGAACAGGTTTTTAAGAAGTTTATAACTTGTAATAACCATTTACATCCAGTATTGATAATGTGTACGTGTTTATAGATGTAGAGATTTGCAGTCATTTCAGAATGTTTATATGGTTGTTGGTTTTTGGGCAACTCTGTTCTGTAGATCTGACAGTTTTTTCTTTGACCCCCTCCCCCCCAGCTGTATACAACATTACTGATGGCAGTCGGCTGGCCACCATTCACCTGCCTACCTACCTGAGTTCTAGATTGGCAGAGACTGAGCTGACCTCCTCTTCTCTGTCCTTCTCCTTTGCATCCTCCTTCTCCCTCATCCAGGTGTCATCTGACCTAAATACAGCTGTGGCTGTCACCCAGTCCCACACTGCCATTGCTGTCGACCTCAACCACTATTTCAGGTACAGAAGCAGAAAACCCAGTTTTTGAGAACTCTTTTTTTTTTTTTTTTAACATTTGTAGTTTTTAGATTTTTTTTTGGTTATTTCTTTTGGTATTTTCACCTGTAACAGCTCTACAACTGTAAGGCAACATCCTACACACTTATAGTTTACCTCTACTTAATCAGTTATACACAACAATTTAATGCAATAGAAATGAAGCAAAAAAATATTGTAGTCAAAGTGGTATGAAGCAGGTTCTCCATTTGGAGAGCTGACTGCCATGGTCAGCAACCCTCCTAGAATGGCAGTGGAAAATCATGTTTGACAGATACAATACTAATCAAAATCTCAGCTGCCATGGAAAAACACTCACAGATCATCCTCAGCACGAGGATTCATGCAGTAATTGTGAGGGTAGAGTGAAAGCACATCACACTGATGTCACTGCACACTGGTACAATGTAGATTTGTCTGCTCACTGAACAATTGTGATCTGGTGTGGAGAACACATTGCAGAGACCTGGCCTACTTTTCTCAACCAAAACCATCTGATGTAAGTTCCTGATTGAGCTGGAGGAATATTGAACTTATTCACTACAACAAACACCTATTTTTCACTGTGACTCTTCTGCAAGTTCATCATGCACAGTACCAGACAAAGAGTGACTCTGTTTTTCCTTTAAAAAAACAACAAAAAAAACCAACTTTAGATTTATATATATTTATATCTGTCTTCCAGGATGTATCCAGACCATCTACTGTGTGCTGTGCCCCAGTCTGTACCTCCTCCTCAGCCCCCACACCCAAGAGACCAGGACAGCCTGTCCAGCTCCAGCTTTTGTCTATCCACCCTCAGATCGGTCCTCAGTACTGAGCGGTAAACGCAGATCAACTTTATTTTACAAAGGTTTTGAGAGTCTGAAGATTACTGTTCCCCATAAGATCTATGCTAAAGTTTGCTGATCAGAGCAGAGTTGGTGAGAATGAAAAATCCAGATACATTATTCTTTAGTAGCCTTCGCTTGATCCAACTTGGTTTTGTTTTTTAAGTAATTATTTAATGCAATGCCAGCATGTTATAAAAGGTAGAATATTTACCTTTTTTATTGCCATGAAACCCAAAGTAAAAATGAGGCTAGTTGGAATTTCGTTAGTTTTGAAGGTAGTTGATCATTACCAAAATATTGGACACACTAAAGTTTGGACTTGATGATGGCATTTATAGCCACAGGATCACTAAAGTTACTACAATCATGTCTTTACTAGGACAGTTTAGATATAGTAAGGAGACATGGGAGGAGAGAAGGGAATCAAACCATGGCTGTTGCAGTTAGCCATCAGGGTGCCCAAATTTATTTAATAGTTACGGAGAAATTGTTGACAAATTTGTCAACCTCGGTGACCAAGGTAGTAGGCTTCGCTGACTTGGAACCTTGAATATCTGCAAAATTTGCTGCTATTACATCAAGTGGATGTTGAGAATTCACTTGTGTAAAAGCCGTTAGCCTTGACTATGTGAAACGTCAGAAGTCATTAGAGTATGTGAAAGAAATTCTATGTGAGAATGCAAGTGTTTTCAGATTCATCTACTTTAGAGGACGTTTGTTTTTGCATGGTTGAACAGAGGCGTCAAATCTGAGAGAAAAAGACAGACTGTCAGACTGTGTTGGGGTATGTGGTGGTCGTCTCAGCTGCTGCACGCTAGTTTTGCCATTTATAATGTATCCTGTGTTGTCAGTATAAGCTCTTATTGTGCGTCACTCTTTTAGAACTTTGAAAGAGTGTGATGTCATATACCTGGTAAATTATAATAAAAAATGGCAAAAAAATAAATATTTAAAACAAACGTAAATTAATATTGATGAAATTGGTATGGCCCCTAAATGTCCCAGACAGTGAAGAATTAACACACGATGAATACAGGTT